TTATCATCGTCGCTTAGGTCATCCATCATTTAGTGTTCTTAGAATTGTGTTTCCATCATTGTTTAAAGGGCCAGCTGAAAATTTCCATTGTAATGACTGTGAACTTGCAAAGCACAGACGTACCTCTTTTCCAATTAGTAATACAAGAACTCTCTTTCCTTTCACTCTTATTCATAGCGATATTTAGGGACCATCTACGGTCCTTAATATCTCTAGGGCTAGGTGGTTTGTGTCCTTTATTGATGATTGCACTCGTGTGTCGTGGATATATCTTATGAAAAATAAATCAAATGTTAGCACGGTGTTTCCAAATTTCTACAACATGATCAAAACTCAATTTGATGTAGGAATTAAGAGATTTCGATCCAATAATGCAAAGAACTTTTTTAATCAGTCTCTCTCTCCTTTCTTTCAAAAACAAGGCATCATCCATGAATCCTCCTGTGTTAGCACACCTCAACAAAACGGGGTGGCCGAACGAAAGAACAGTCATCTTCTTGCTATCACTAGAGCAACTTTATTCCATAAAAATGTCCCAAAACAATATTGGGGAGAAGCCGTTTTAACCGCTGCCCATCTTATCAATCGATTGCCTACAAAAGCTCTTGATTTCAAAAGTCCTATGGAATCTCTCACTAAATTTTTCCCAAATTTCAATGCTTCCAACAATCTCACTCCTAGAATATTTGGTAGTGTCGCATTAGTTCATGTTCATTCCCAAAACAGAGGAAAACTTGATCCACGTGCTCTCAAGTGTGTTTTTATTGGTTATTCCTCCACACAAAAAGGGTACAAATGTTTCCATCCGCCTACAAGAAAATTCTTCGTGTCCGTCGATGTCACATTCGTTGAAACATAGTCATATTTCTCTAATTCCTATCTTCAGGGGGAGAAGTTAAGTGAAGATAGGGAAAAAGACTTGTTTCTCCTTAGTCGTCCTTGTCAACCCGAGTCTTCTGAGGCCGAGTCTTCTTCACCCAACATCGAAATACCTCCAAGTGGTCAACCCGAGTCTTCTTCTTCACCTAATGGTGAGTCTTCAAATGTTGAATCTGCATCTGCTCCATATCTGTCCGAACCCAGTACACCTAAGTTAAATGGAATGATAAAAGGAAAGGAAATTCAAGAATCCATTCGGCCACTACAAGTTTATTCAAGGAGGCGAGCACCAATCTCTCAACCTACGCATGTTCAGTCACCTGTTCGAGCTACTGTTCAATCATTTGAGGTAAATCCCACTCCTACTGAGACTATTACTCAACCACCCAATCCTACTAAACCCACCAATGAAATAGCTGAGCCAAATGATTATGACCTGATTGCTCTTAGAAAAGGAACCAAAACTTGTACAAAGCATCCGTTATACCTGTTCATATCCTACAATAACTTGTCCCAAAATTATAGAGCCTTCCTTAGCAAACTCCATGAAATTCTCATTCCTAGAAATTTATCTGAGGCATTAGGAAATGAGAAATGGGAAAATGCTATGAAAGTGGAGATGGAGGCATTGGAGAAAAACAAAACGTGGGACTTGGTCAGATTGCCAAAGGGAAAGAAGCTGGTTGGATGCAGATGGGTTTTCACCGTGAAGTATAAGTCGGACAGGTCTGTGGAGAGATACAAAGCAAGGTTGGTTGCCAAAGGTTATACACAAACCTTCGGTATAGATTATGTTGAAACCTTTGCCCCAGTTGTAAAAATGAACACAGTACGTGTTATTTTATCCTTGGCTGCCAATTTTGGGTGGGGTTTACAACAGTTTGATGTAAAAAACGCCTTCTTACACGGCGATCTTGAAGAGAAAATTTACATAGAGGTGCCTCCTGGATTTGAGTCTAAAGAAGGGAAGGTATGTAAGCTAAAGAATGCTCTATATGGACTCAAACAGTCACCAAGGGCCTGGTTTGGGAGATTTGCTAAAGTAATGATCACCATGGGATATAAACAGAGTCAAGGAGATCATACTTTGTTTGTGAAGCACTCGAAGTCAGGGGGAGTGACGGCATTATTAGTGTATGTAGATGACATCATAGTCACGGGCAACGATGAAGAAGGAATGCATAGTTTAAAGAGGTGCTTGGAGAAAGAATTTGACATCAAAGAGCTTGGGAAGCTAAAATACTTCCTAGGTATTTAAGTGGCACACTCAAAAGAGGGAATCTTCATATCACAGCAAAAATATGTGTTGGATTTGTTAAAGGAAACCAGGAAGCTGGGATGTAAACCAGTTGATACACCGATCGAGTTCAACCACAGGTTATGTGATGCTCCAGAGGACACAGCGGTGGACAAAAGTTCCTATCAAAGGCTAGGAAGATTGATTTACTTGGCCTACACAAGGCCAGATATTGCTTTTGCAGTGAGCATTGTTAGTCAGTTTATGCACAATCCGAAGGAGATGCACCTCAATGCTGTGTATAGAATTCTACAGTATTTGAAGGGCACTACTGGAAAAGTGATTCTATTCAAGAAAGGACAAAGTATGACGCTAGAAGCTTACACTGGCGCAGATTATGCATGTTCCCTAGTTGACAGGAGATCAACATCAGGATATTGCACCTTCCTAGAGGGTAATCTTGTGACTTGGAGGAGTAAGAAACAGACGGTGACAAGATCAAGTGCAGAATCAGAATTCAGGTCAATGGCACTTGGGATATGTGAGTTACTATGGCTTAAAATAATTCTAGATGATCTACGAGTTGAATGGGAAGGTCCGATGCAACTATACTGTGATAATAAGTCAGCTATAAGTATCGCCCATAATCCAGTGCAACATGATCGAACGAAGCACATTGAAGTGGACAGACACTTTTTAAAGGAGAAACTCGATAGTGGTCTAATTCGTACTCCGTTCATCTCAACCAAAGACCAGCTAGCGGACATACTTACAAAGGGACTCCCAAACACGGCTTTTCAGAAGATTGTCAGCAAGCTTGGAATAGAATATATCTATTCATCAGCTTGAGGGGGAGTGTGGAAATATACGGTTATTCTAGGAAAACCGTGTATAATATTGTGAAATATAATCCCTGATTTCCAAGGATTAGTTGAGCTGTATATATATTTTCTGATTTGATATGAGCAGGATTATCTCCTGATTAATTGGGTAGTTTCTTATTTTACTGGTTTGACTTTATGGCAGACCTGTACTATATATTTCCGTGTAAACTCTGATGATTATAATAAAAACAATTATTCAGTCTCAATTCTTGACAGTAAGACTCGTTCTACTTACTTAGATGAGGTATATAGGAAACTTGGGACTAAAGAATAAGAGAATGATATATATAAACTAGTTAAGATAAAAGAAGGAAAGTATCAGGACATAAATCAAGTGAGGTGTGTTAAGGATAATACGGATCAGATTCTAACAAGAGATAAAGACATTAGGGAAAGGTGAAGGAGTTACTTTGAAAAGTTTTATAATGATGATCGTGCGATAGAGTTTGACAATCTTAGGTCACAAGGGGAACCTAATGTGATGTACACGAGAGGAATCAAAGTCTCGGAAGTTAAAACTGCACTACGGAAGATGAAAAAAGGAAAGGCATGTGGGCCAGATGATATTCCAATAGAGGTTTGGATGGCGTTAGGAGATGCTGTAATTGTGTGACTCACTAAGCTTTTTAATGAGATACTAAAGAAGAAACATATGCCTGATGCATGGAGGAAAAGTATTCTTGTCCCCATCTTCAAGAATAAAGGAGATGTGTTGAATTGTAACAATTATAGAAGCATAAAGTTAATAAGCCACATTATGAAACTTTGGGAGAGAGTTATCGAAAGGAGATTAAGGGCCACAACTACCATCTCAGGTAACCAATTTGGCTTCATGCCAAGCAGATCAACCACGGAAGCCATTTTTCTTCTTAGGATGCTTATGGAAAGGTACAAAGAAGCCAAGACAGACCTACATAAGGTCTTTATAGATTTAGGAAGGCATATGATAGGGTGCCGAGGGAAGTTTTATGGTGGGTGCTAGAAAAGAGAGGGGTGCATGTGAGGTATATTAAGGTAATTAAGGACATGTACGATGGGGTGGTCACGAGTGGCTACACGGTAGAGTTCCCCATTCGGATCGGCCTTCATCAAGGATTTGTTCTTGGTCCTTATCTTTTCACCATCGTGACGGATGAGCTGACAAGAGAAATCCAAGATAGAGTTCCTTGGTGTATGCTTTTTGCGGACGATATAGTTTTAGTTGATGAACATAGGGAATGAGTTAACCGTAAGTTAGAACTGTAGAAACAGACTCTCGAGATGAAAGGATTTAAGTTAAGTGGGACGAAAACGGAATACATGCATTGCAGGTTTAGTAACTCAAGTAACTAGAGCGATGGAATTTCTTTAGACGGTGTGGAGATTGGGGCTTCTAAGAAGTTTAGGTACCTTGGGTCTATGGTGCAGTACGAAAGAGATATAGAAGAGGAAATATTCAACATAGGATTAAGGCAAGGTGGATTAAGTGGAAGAATGCTACGAGAGTTTTATGTGATGGCAAGATGCCTATTAAGTTGAAAGAAAAATTCTATAAGACTGTAATCCGCCCAGCTATATTATATGGTATTGAATGTTGGGTCATTAAGAGACAACATATATCTAAGATGAGTGTAGCAGAAATGCGTATGTTAAAATGGATGAGTTGCCATACGAGAATGAATCGCATAAGGAATGAAGTTATTCGTAATAAAATAGGTGTAGCACCAATAGAAGATAAGGTACGCGAAGGCCGCTTGAGGTGGTACAGGTATGTCCAACGTGCTAGAAGCACCAGTTCGTGCTTGGGAGGACATTCTTATACCAAATACTAGGAGAGGGAGGGGTAGACCAAGAATTACGTGGACCGAAGTCGTTAGGAAAGACATTCTAGATCTAGGTCTTCTAGAAAGTTTAATTTCGAACAGAGCTGTGTGGAAAAGTGAAATCCATATAACCGACCTCAATTAAATTGAGATTAAGGTTTGTTGTTGTTGTATTAAGATTATCAATTTGAACAATACCTTGGAACTAGATGAAATTAAGCCAACCATGCCAGGCATGGGCCTCATATGCACTCCACGGTCATTGTCAATAACCTTCATCAAAATGGAAAAAAAATGTTATCATCACAATTCACACGTAGTACGATAACGGCAATAACGAAATTTTCAAAGACAGATGATTACCTGTATTTGTCTATTTTTAATCATGGACTTGTTTGTCCTTTCACGACACAATTTGCCATACTCTTCAAGGTTTTCACCATGGGGCTTCATGTCAAACTTGTGCTCTACTTTCCCTTCTACTGCAACCTTACCTATAATTATTTGCAGATTTTTGTTAGCAGAATTAAAGGACCAAAAAAGAAGGGGAAAAAAAAGGCTACAGCAAAAAACCACTTAACCATGTCTGATTTTTAGATCTAAAGTCCAAAAGGATATTATTTCACATTCATCCTAAGTGAGGTGTAACGACCTTTGCTCATTCTACACTAAACCAAACCATCCTCACAAGTTTTTCCAATTCAATTATGTGGAAAAGAATGAGGAAAAATATATTATTAATTCCAATAATTTACACAAGCCACTAAAGGGCTATATATACACGAGTTAGATAAACTCATTGGAGAAATGAAATTATCCCTAATTTTGTTGTTAGCCAGTCACCTAGAATCTAGGAAATAGATAATCACATGATCCCTAGCCCTAGCCGGTCATAATCCTTAGGAGATAATGCTTGCTTCTAGAAGATAATGTTAAATATAATGCGGTTATTTCCCACACTCCCCCTCAAGCTGGTGAATAGGTGTCTCATTCCCAGCTTGGTTGTAATTTCTTAGAAGGTAGTACTATTAAGCCCTTTGGTGAAGATATCAGCTAGTTGATCTCCTGTGGGAACATATGGTGTGCAGATCAATCCACTATCTAGCTTCTCCTTGATGAAGTGTCGGTCCACCTCGACGTGTTTTGTTCGATCGTGTTGCACTGGATTGTGTGCAATGTTGATTGTTGATTTATTATCGCAGTAGAGTCTCATATGCCCACTCCATTTAATCTTCAAGTCCTCCAATATGATCTTCAGCCATAACAATTCGCAGACTCCCTGTGCCATTGCCCTAAACTCGGCTTCTGCACTTGATCGAGCTACAACATTTTGTTTCTTACTTCTCCATGTCACCAAGTTGCCTCCCAGGAATGTACAATATCCGGAGATAAACCTTCGATCCAGGGGAGATCCTGCATAATCTGCATCCGTGTAAGCCTCAAGGACAAGTTCGGAGTTCCTCTTGAACATTATTCCCTTTCCTGGGTTAGCCTTTAGGTAATGAAGCCCTACGTACGAAGGAGAGTTAGAGAAAGGAATGTGGCTGGTGCAGGGGCTGGCAATAGGGATGCGTGTCAGCAAGGAATTACTCGGGAACAAGATGAGCTAGCAGTTGATGAGCTGGCAGTTCCGGAGGCTGAGCTGGCAATTTCCGGGAGAGGTTAGATTGTTTGTTAGAGGGAAGTTAGTTACTGGATGTAGAAATACTATAAATAGCTTAGTCATAGCGGGGGAAGGCATTCGATCATTTTTTCTTAGAAAACTTCCTAGACAAGTTGATAGGAGAGCACGGGATCTCTCGAAAATCCCCATACCTTCCTTTACTCGTATTTGTCGCCATTGTTGATTCTTACTTGTCGCCATAGTTGATTCTTGGTTCCATTAATACAGAATTCTCTTCAATTAGTCATCTTTCTGTGTCAATTACTTTGGAACTTATCAGAAGCACTCAGTAGGCTGCTTGTAGATGGACCTCCTTGGCTAATACATGAATTGGCTAATGATGCTTACGGAATATGCTATGTCTGGCCGGGTGTGTGCAAGGTAAATGAGTTTCTCAACTAGTCTTTGGTACATTTCTCTGTCTATTGTTTGATCACCTGTGGCTTCTCCAAGTTTATGGTTCACCTCTATAGGAGTTGCGGCTGGTTTACTAGCGAGCATTCCTGTTTCTCTAAGAAGATCCATGACATATTTCTGTTGTGAAATGAAGATGCCTTGTCTTGAATGTGCCACCTCAATTCCAAGAAAGTATTTCAGCCTTCCCAATTCTTTAATCTCGAACTCTTTGATCAAGCGTTGCTTCAAGACTTGTTTCTCCCTCTCATCGTTTCCTATTACAATAATGTCGTCCGCATAGACTATCAAGACTGTGACTCCCCCTGAATACGAGTCTTTGATGAAGAGGGTGTGGTCTCCCTGACTTTGCTTATATCCGGTGGCTAGCATCTCTTGGTGAATCTTCCAAACCAAGCACGGGGTGACTGTTTTAAACCGTACAATGCTTTCTTTAACTTGCATACTTTTTATTTTTCAACTCCTCCAAACCCAGGGGGGAATGGTCATATAAATTTCCTCTTTCAAGTCCCCGTGAAGGAATGCGTTCTTCACATCATTCTGTTGTAGGTCCTAGTTATAATTGGCTGCCAATGACAATAAGATCCTTACCGTGTTCATTTTTGCGACTAGCGCAAAAGTCTCTTGATAATCCACCCCATATGTCTGAGTGTACCATTTGGCAACTAGTCTTGCTTCGTAGCGCTCTAATGACCTATCTGCCTTGAATTTTAGAGAAAATACCCATTTGCACCCCACTGCTTTCTTTCCCCTCGGTAGGTCCACTATTTCCCATGTTCCGTTTTTTTTCCAGAGCATCCATTTCCACTCCCATAGCTTTTCGTCATTCTTCCTTAGATAATGCCTCAGACAAAGTGTTTGGAATAGCAATTTCATTTAAACTCGTAAGAAAGCTTTTATGTGATGGTGAAAACCTCTCAAATGATACAAACTAAGATAGTGGGTATAATGGCCTCTTGGTACATTCGTGGGTTCCTTTCCTTATAGCTATAGGCAATTCTTGGTTATGTGTTTGAAGGACAGGGAATGAAGGTGGGTGTTCTACCAATAAAAGCAAAGTAGGTTCAAAAACTGTTACCTCATTCTCAAGAGTCGAGTTGGAGATTTGGACTTGTGTAGATTCAACGGTTGGGCCCCGTTTCCTTGAGTATGTCTTTCCTTTTCCAAAGCGTATATGATCAAGAGTCTTAACATGTATAGGAGACACAAATGGTACTGGGAGGCTGTGGCACGTTTTGAGGGTGCTGCGGATTCCACAGGTTTAGGAGTAGGAGGATGGGATGATGAAGAAGAGGATGGAAGATCAAGAAGAAAAGAATCCTTATCTTCTATAATAGAGGGCTCCCCCTGAAGATAAGGTTGAGCAAAATATGGTTTCTCTTCTGCAAATGTGACATTAGCCGAGACAAAGAGATTTTTGGTGAGTGGATGATAGCATTTGTACCCTTTTTGTGTGGAAGAGTATCCTACAAAGACACATTTGACAGCTCTAGGATCCAATTTTCCCCGATTGTTGCTGTGGACATGAACAAATGAAGTGCACCCAAAAATTCTAGGTATAAGGTTGTTGGTTGTATTGATGGCAGGATAGAATTTAAAAAGAGCTTCCATTGGACTTTTTTACCCTAAAACTCTTGAAGGAGTTCGGTTTATGATATAGGCAACGGTAAGAACGGCATCCCCCCAATAGTGTTTTGGTACGTTATGATGAAACAAGAGTGCTCGGGTAGTGTTTAGGAGATGACCATTTTTTCTTTCTACAACCCCGTTTTGTTGTGGAGTTTTTACGCAAGATGACTCATGGATGATTCCTTCTTTTTGGAAAAAAGGAGACAAGAACTGATTAAAGTAGTCTTTTGCGTTGTCAGACCTAAATCTCTTGATTTTAGTACCAAACTGATTTTGAATCATCAAGTGGAAATTGGAAAAGATGTTACTCACATCGGATTTATTTTTGGGCAAAAAGATCCAGGTAACTCTAGTACAATCATCAATAAAGGACAAAAACCAACATGAATTAGAGATATTTGGAGTAGTGAAAGGGCCCAAGATATCACTGTGGATTAGGTAGAAAGGAGAAGAACATCTTTTATTACTAATAGGAAAGGAAACACGAGTGTGTTTTGCATACTCACAAATGTCACAATGAAATCCCCTAATATCTAATCCCCTAAATAAAGAAGGAAACATAATTTTTAAAACTGCAAAAGACGGATGGCCAAGGCGGTAGTAGTGCAACCAAATGAGATCCCTTTTGGAGGAAGAAAAAAATGAGGATGTTAGGCTCTTCTTGATCATATGTGAAAAATTCGACGTCTCAAGGCTCAGCACGTCCAATCTTCATCCCCGAATCCTGATCCTGAAACTCACAATAAGAAGGGTAAAATGCAACATGACAATGTAAGTCTTTTGTAAGCTTTTGAATAGACACAAGGTTGGTGGACAGTTTTGGGACATGTAAAACATTTTTGAGGATAAGACTAGGTGCGATATGGACATCCCCTACCCCGGCTACTGTGGTTGTGGTTCCATCGGCAATCGTAATTTTTCTATTACTTGGACACAGGGTGTAAGTTTTAAATTGGTTTGAGGCAAGTGTCATAGGATCCGTAACTCTTCACAAACAATTTATCTGAAGCATTTAGTCCACAAGAGAATGAGTGCTTACCCGAGAGTGCCAAAGAGCAAGTGCTGGAGGATGGTTTCTCAAGGGTTCCCAGTAAGTTCCTAAATTTTTATCTCTCTTCATTATTCAACCCGCTATGATCTTTAAGTTTGAGCTTGATCTTGACTTACTTGGGAGGTCTTATATGCTTGGCCTTGTTGTCGTTGCTGCTGTCCTCCTTTGTTTCCCCATTCACGGCTAGTTGTTGAAGGTCCCCATTCACGGCTAGTTGTTGAAGGTTTTCCATGTAATTTCCAGCAACGCTCTCTTGTATGTCGTGGCTTTTTACAGTAGGTACACCAGAGATCTTCTCGATTTGCTCCCTTTTTATACTCCGTTTTTCCAGGTTCAGCTTTTGGTGGTTGTTCCAAGATGAGACCCCGTTGTTTGTTACTAGAGGTTGCGAGTGCAGGTCCACCAAACTGCTTCAGGTTCAAGCATCACTCCTCTGCGACTTTCCTCAGCCCGGATTAAAGCTATTGCCTCTTCCAAGGACGGGATTTCCAACTTCCCTAGGATCTGGATTCGTATAAGATCAAATTCCGGGTTTAAACCTGTAAGAAAGTCATAAACTCAATCTCTTTCTATGAATCTTTTCACTGCCCCTGCACAGTCACTGCACTTCAAGAATTACCCTGTAATAATCTAGTTCTTGCCACTGGTTTAGCAGAAAATTAGCGTATTCTGTTACAGTTTTACTTCCATGTTTGGATGCCGTTGTTTTGATCTTGATCTCGTAAATCAAAGCCGCATCACGGACCTTAGAGTAGGTTCCATGTGTAGCATCCCAAATCGCCTTTGCGGTTGGTAGAAACATGAATGTGTCGCTGATTTCAGGTGTCATGGAATTCCACAACCAAGACATGATCATGGAATCCTCTTCATCCCAGGCTTCGAATCCAGCATCTCCTTCCTTCAGTCCAGTCCCAAGTGACTTAATTTTCCTTTTCCCTTTAGAAAAGTCCGAACCAATTGGGACCACTTCAGGTAGTTTCTGCCATTGAGTCTATAAGCTGTCTGTATATTCTGGAAATTGCCTGGAGAACGCTGAATCTGTTCTTCCTCATGCTGTTGGGTTGCTTGAACCAAGGGAGTTGAAGAGGTTGTTTCTGACATCTCTGAATTTATTCGGATGTGGGATCACAAGAAAGAGGGTAATCCGCAAAACAAGAAACAGAAAGAAAGGGTAATCCGCAAAGAAAAGGCAAATTCGGGGAAAAAATTGCAGAAGAAAAAAACTGTAATGGGAAAAAAGGAACTGCGATGAAGGCAATTCAGAGAAATTCGCCTATGAACGCCGAGGAAAAAATCATAGAAATTCGGCTATGAAGGCCGAGGAAAAGAAGGATTTATTTCTAGAAAAAAAGCCCTATGGCTCTGATACCATGTGGAAAAGAATGAGGAAAAATATTTTATTAATTCCAATAATTTACACAAGCCACTAAAGGGCTATATATACGAGTTAGATAAACTCATTGGAGAAAAGAACTTATCCCTAATTCTGTTATTAGCCGGTCACCTAGAATCTAGAATCTAGGAACTTATCCTTAGCCCTAGCCGGTCATAATCCTTAGGAGATAATGCTTGCTTCTAGAAGATAATGTTAAAGATAATGCAGTTATTTCCCACAAATTCTGATGTCACTACCACAAAAAATGTCACCTTAAAATGAATATCACTACTACGCAAGAAATTTATGTATCAATCAGCATTGAATGGAAAATGAAAGTAAGCCTATGCATTGCCGCTCACCTTGATTTGTCTCCGAAAATACACACATAGGAACAAAGTCTTTAAACATATTCAAAGAATAAGTTTTTGGCTTATGTCCGGTCTCAGTAGCAGCCGTCTCCATTGTGAACTGATAGCAAATTTAAAATGTAAGAAAAGGATAAGGAATTCTTTGGTTTTAAGGAGTAGATATTTTGAAATGAAACTTGCTGCCAAATGTAAATCTCATCAGATTGAGCATCAATTCACATCTAATTGCATTCAACGACAACTATAATGGCTGAACCTCAAAACTCGTTAGGTTTATTGGCCAAATTTGACGAGAGAAGAATTATATAAGTACAATAAGCCAAATTCAATTCTAGTTTATTCCACAAGCGGGAAATGAATTTACCCTCTCAAAATTCGTTCATTTAGACAATTAATCAAGTCAAGGGATATCCATAGAACGACGCAATCTAATCACTTCTCATCTAAAATGCTCAATACCCTCGCTTATTTTGCCCATAAACCCTAATCACGCAAAGCACAACAAAATTTCATAAAAATCTAAGCTTTTACACTAGGGTTTTCCTGAGAAAGTTAATGCGACACAACGAAATTCTGAACCTTTGAGCTTAAATTCCATAAGATGATTACATATTGGTGCGAAAATTGATCATATTATCAAATACATTTAACAATTAAAAAAAAGTTATTCGGAAGAGTACCTGAAGGGAAGAGGGATCGTCAGAGAGAAGAGGATCGAGTGAGAGAACGACCTTGGCAAGGGGATGAGGATCAGAGGGGCTGTGAGACTGCCATGACTTGGCGACGACCAAAGGGCACTTCATCAGCCACACCGACCTCTCTGCCTTACCTGTTTCCAAGTTGCTGCTACTTCCGCTGCCCCCATCGTCTTCCATCTCTCTCTCTCTCTCTCTCTCTCTCTCTCTCTCTCTCTCTCTCTCTCTCTCTAGAATCTTGTCCTTTTGCTCTTCACTTTATCTCTCTACAACTCTTTGTTCTCTTCCTCTGCGACGGTGGGGTCTGGAGGGTTAGGGCTTAGTCCGCACCTTAATTCGAGAGCTTAGAACCAAAGGAGGTGACTTTTCTTACCTGTCAAATATGTCCTGCAACAAGTGAAAGTAGGGTCTTTTAAAAAAAATAATAAAAATAAGAATAAAAAATAAAAGGTAAAAAGTAAATATAGAGATGCAACAATACATCGGGACTCGTGGGCCGGCCCAGACCCATCCTGATGCAGTGACGGGTCGAGTTGATACGACTCGTCACTGTTCAAGGTACGACTCAATTCATAAATATTGGTGGGTTGAGTTGGGCCAATAGTTCATGAATCGACCCGACACGGTCCATGACAGGCCAGGATGGGCCGACTCGTCTAGGCCCATGATGGGCCGGCCCAGCCAGGCCCGTCTAGGCCCATAATGGGCCAGCCCATCTAGGTTCATAATATTTTTATTTTTTTTTTTTTTAGTAATTTTGTAAACATCTTATGTATAATTATCCTTATTGTACTATTTTTTTTCTTATCAAGGTTTTGTCCCACTGAGTTTTCTTTAGAAAGATTTTTATTTAATAAAGTAATCATAAATAAAATATATCTTTCCATATTTCTATTGACTATTCAAACTTTTATATTTGTTAACTTGTTTAAAAATTTAAAAATAAAAATTAAAAATTACATGTTTAAATGGGCTAACTCATCTAAACTCATAATGGGTATTGAGTGGGCTAGCACATTCAAGGCCCATGGCACAACCCATCATGACCCGCAGCACGGCCCAACCTGGCCAGCGACACGGCCCAGCCTGGCCAGCAGCACGGCCCAGCCTAGCCCGCGGCACGGCCCAGCCTGACCCACGTAAAATTGACATGTGGTATGGGTTGGGCCGAGATCATTCTTATACGGGTCGGTCCGACCCGGCCCACGAAATTCGTAGGTTGGGCGACCCAGCCAGCGGCCGTCGTGGGCCTAAAGAGAACGGGCCGGCCCGTTCTTGCATCTCTAAGTAAATAGAGCCCTACCAAGTAATTGAAAAATTTAGCAAAAACTACATGTCGTAAAATTTAGCAAACTTTATTAACAATACGACGTAACTATGGAGATAAACTAGCTGTCGTTGTTCTGCAAATTATAATACGGTGTTAAACTGTATTAAGGGTTTGGAATGAGACAATGCGTCCTTTTACGAGCTGGACGACATTAGACAGCACAACAAATAAACAAACGTGTCGTTTTCAAACATGAACGACAAGAAAAAAAACTGTCGTTTTACCAATTAAACGATATTAAACTGTTATTTTTTTTCTTTCAAAAAAAAACTGATTTTTTTCTTTACAATTTAATCTCTTTTTTTTTCTAATCTTTTACAATATAAACTTGCAGCCTGGGGGAGTATACAAAACGTGTCGACTTTTACTTGGGCAATGAACATTTATTTTGTTGGCCCCTCGTTGTAACTTTACTAGTGTTGGACACCGTCAAAATACGTGCACTATGATTTAAATTCTTTTTCTTTGAAGTAGAGTCTATCGTGTATGCATAAACAATCATATTTCTCAAATACTCTAATTTCAATAGCACATTACCACGAATACTCCGTAATCCATTTATTATTCCAAAGTTCGAATTTCCAGAAATATACAAATAACAAAAATTCTTCCAACAACCCGCATTATAAGGCATAAAAAATTAATAAAGAAAAGTTAGCTATATTCAAACCTCTACTCTTTTTTTAATCTTGAGAAAATTACAATTCTAACTCTTAAGTATCTCACATACTAAAAATACTATTTTTAAAAAACTCTATCATTTGACTAATTTTAGTCTAAAAAATAGAAATATATGGGTTAATATTAAGGGAGTATAAATATAAAATAACTTCATTTTAATGAGTATTTTTAAATATTGCCATTTAATTTTTAAAAATGAGAATGACGAATTCATCTCTCTTTAAATGAAAAATCTTATTGCTTTTGGAATTACTATAAAGTCCCAACCAACTGAAGTTGAGATCGACATTTTTAACCTTTGGAAGTATTATATGGTATAATTGTAGAGGATTATTAAAGTAATTTGGGGCCGTTTATTTTATATACGCAAACTTAAATCACTTATTATAATACAATGTTTTTCTCTCATAAAAAATTTAAATTTCAAACGTCAAAATTAAAAATCGTGGTTTGAGTATACCTTCTAAACAGACCATTTAATACTATAAGACTTGTGTTTCAATTTATGTGTTCCAAATTTTTTTATTTATCTAATGATTTTATAGTTTTATTTATTTATTTATTTTCCAATATTGTAAATTGCAGCCTTGGTTATGTAACTATAAATATACAAAGTAAAATAATGTTTATTCATTTGATAAAAGATTATGTTATTCACATCAAGACGAAACATGTTTATGATCCAAATTTTTTCTAGAGAATGGATTCTTTTTTTTCCGCTAGTAAAAGGGTAGTTTATTTTTGAATTTCATAAAAACAGTATAGTTACCACATCGGGGGTAACCATCTAGGGAGGAATGAAACCTGAAAATTTCACGTTCCATAACCACTAACAAAGACAGACAGCTACAGTATTAGCAACTCTTATAACCCACATAGAAGAAATAGTCCTAAAGGCAGGCATTCGATCACACACCACCAAAAATCACACATCATTCTTCATTCATGGCTCATCTCTGGTACCTGCAAAGATTCAATTAGATCTTGCATTCATTCTCAATATAACGTCAGCCCATCCACGCACCTAATCAAGAACTACCGACCGTAGAATTGCTAAAAGCTCTGCATGGAGCGATGAAGAGGCCTCTGATAAACCTGCCCAAGCAAGACATGGAATTTCATTAGAATACGAGCCATTATCGCGATGCTAGAACCTACCTCTGTCCAAAGATGCATCCGTATTGATCTTAATGTTAAAAAGATTGTAATATGTCTTGATCAAGATCACAAGTTGTTTGAATGTTAAATCATGAAAAATTCGTGTTAATGCAGGGGGTTTATAAACATTGCAGCTGAAATATTTGCGCTGCAGTTGAAATGTTTGCACTGTAGTGGAAAACTTCACACTGTTGTGCCCTTGTGCAAGCCTCTCGGATCTGTTTGCGCGCTGCCGTGGAAATTCTGTAAAAAAATAGTGTTTTCATGAGTTTATGTGATCTGAAACGTTTCGAACCATTATATCCATTGGTGATATGTTTTCATACATATTTGAACATTAATTAGCAATATATATAATTACTGTAATAGGTGTATTAATCCATGAAAAGATACATTTACATTGAAAATGTACCTTTATGTGAATGGTTGTAATGTTTAAAGATGATGCATTCATTCATGAAATGGCACCTATGTCTTTATTAATTCTCCAGAAAATTTACAGACTATTATGAATGTTCTGGAACTCAATATTATTGTTAGATATTGTGTTCAAGGGTTTGTTGTATCTTGGGGGTAATTTACCATTAAAACTCATTAGCAAACTTTGAGAAGTGATGGCAAATAAAACCTTAAAAGAAAGTATTCCTATACGCCTCAAATCCTCTCTTGTTTCTGTATTCTTTTCACCTTCTACACTAAAGTTCTCAAACAATCATTAAGGTTTTAACTTGTTGCAATGGAGGTTGAAAAGAACATGGCGTCTTTCCTCAATCCAAATGTCCAACTTGATCGATTCGATGATACTAATTTCACCTGCTGGAAAGGAAAGTTGTTCTTCCTTCTCACCGTGCTTAAGATAGCCTACGTGCTTGATCCGAAGTTGGAGCCACTTCCGGAATCAAAGGAGGATGATTCCAATGAATTGAAGGCTGCAAGGAAGAATCGTGAAGATGATTAAGTCATGTACCGGGGTCATATCCTCAACACTCTCTCCGATAGGCTCTATGATCTCTATAACTCGTTGGAGTCTCCGGTGGAGATTTAAAATGCTCTTAAATACAAATACAATACTAAGAAGGAAGGTACGAACAAATTCCTTATCTTGAAATATGTTGAATTTGTCATGGTTGATACCAAGTCCGTTCTATATCAAATACATGAATTGCAAGTCACTGTTACTAAGCTTCGTGAATTAAAAGTTGAAATTTTTAAATCATTCCAAGTGGGGGCAATTATTGCTAAATTGCCTCAAAGTTGGAATGGTTATAGAAAGAAACTCCTTCATAAGAGAAATGAAATAACTTTGGAGGAATTACATAAACACTTGAGGATCGAAGAAGAGACTAAGTCTCGTGATCTCAAGGGCAAGATTATAGATTCCTCTAAGGTTAATGTTGTCAAAGCTAGTAAGTTTTCTAAGAACTTCAAGATCAATAATGATAAGAAGTTTAAAAAGCCCGGTAATGGCCAAAATAAATTTTTTAAAAATTGTTTCTTTTGTGGAAAGAAATGTCATCGCCAAAATGACTGCAGATATAAGAAGAATAAGGAAGAAGTTAACACCAACAAGGCCATACTGTTGAAGAGAAATCCGAAGACATTTGTGCTATGGTCTCGAAAATACAAATTGGCATGATTACCGAAACCAACATGGCTGCAACTAAATCCTCCTAAAGGTGGCTTGATTCTAGTGCCACAATCCACGTTTGTAATGACAAGAAATTATTCTCATCATACAAAGTGGAAAAGGAAGGGTAAACAGTTTTCATAGGGAACAATGATGCAGCAATGGTTGTCGGGAGAGGTGTGGTGGAAATCAACTTTACTTCCGGAAAGAAACTTACTTTGAACAATGTTCTCCATGTTCTTGATATTAGAAAAAATCTTGTATCCGCTAGTCTAATGTGTAAGAATGGGCTTAAGATTGTACTTGAGGGCAATAATTGTATTGTATCTAAGAATAGGGTCTTTGTGGGAAAGGGATATTCTTGTGTTGGCATGTACAAACTTAGTATTAATAATAAAGATGATATGAATTCTCTTTATATTGTTGACTCTTTTGATGTTTGACATGCACGTTTAGCACACTTAAATTTTAGATTTTTGAAATATATGTCTAAACATGGTTTGATTAATTACAAATATGTTAAAAATGATAAGTGTGAAATTTGTATACAAGCAGAGATGACTAAGAAATC